AATCAACGCTTTAAACTCGAATCCCGTGATGATTCTCTTCTTTGAATTGGGCTCTTCGATCTCCCATTAATTTATAGTTTCTCCCACGTTTTTGGCCAATTTGGAGTCTTTTTATGGGCTTCCGCTGCCCAAAAAGCAGAAACCTAATTTGTGCGGCGTAGCGCCTAGGCGCTAGGATTGGGCACCTAGGCGCCGTGTCAAAAATCAGGACAATGCTTGGGCGCTAGGTTGTAGACACAAACTTTTAACATATTGGTGGTCAATTTCCCATGCCTGTGATCACATGGGGCATACTATTGAACTTGGTTCCTCGATTTCTTCTTAAATACAGTTCAAGTCCTCTCTTATTTGCACCATGGGTCCTTCATCTTTCAATCTTTACACTTCGATCATCATCATCATCCACAAGTGTCGAAAATTGATTCGTCTAATTTCTAAAAGTTCACACTTAAGTCCCTAAAATTTTTAAATATTGAATTAGCCCTCAGAACTTGTAAATCTCATCCTAGTGATCTCTCAAAACATCTTAGTGATAAGGTGCAACCCCATTAGCTTTCAATTGCTCTGAATCTACTTCAATTAAGCTCAAAATTGCCTTTCCTCGAGTGAATTCATCGATTGTTAAAAGGGAAATTAAAGATTGTGCTATGATTTTTGATTTGAGGTATTGCAAAAAGGGTAGGAATTGTTGGGGGTAGAGTGCATGAATACTAGAATTATTGGCGTTTGAATTCTTGATTGCATTACTGGGAGTAGATGGAGTGAAAAATTGGAGTGGGTATAAAATGAAAAAGAAGAAGAATCTTGAACGGACAAATGTTATTGGGAAAATTAAAGATGTCCTGATCAAAATTTAAGTGTTAGGAGTTTGGTCAATTTACATTTGAAATGAAAGGATAAGAGGTTGTTCTCTTTGTATTTCAGTTTAGTGTTTTGAGTTTTCAATTCATTTTGGGTTTTGGGTTTTGAGTATCCATTTTGAGATTGTTGAAAATATATTTTTTTTGACATTTTGAAAAATTGTTTTCAAAAATAAAAAATTGGAAAACCCTTTCTCTTTCTTCCCCTTCCTTCCTTCCTTCCTCTCTGTCGTCTCTCTCACTTCTTCCACTTTTCTCTGTCAACGAGCAGCGACGGTGGCTGCGATTGGTACGTGGTGGATACGATCGCACACCATACACCTAAAACTACCACACACCACCACCACCACCACAGCCACAACCAACCACCGCCCAGTAAAAAAAGGGAGAGAGATAGAGAGATGGTGTGTGGTGTGTGACAGTAGTTGTTTGTGGATGCGATCGCCAGTGGTTTCATCTATCTCTCTCTTTTTTTTTTTTTCTTGGGCGGTGGTTGATTGTGGCTGTGGTGGTGGTGTGTGGTAGTTTTGGGTGCATGGTGTGTGATATGGTGTTGTGCAGGTTGTGGTTGTAATGGTGGTGTTTAGGTGTAGGGCTGTGGCGGTGGTGTTGATGTTGTGGTTTTTTGGTGTGGCGGTGGTTATGATTGTGGTGTGGCGGTGGCTGTGGTGGTGGTTCTGCGACGATGTTAGCTGTTTTTGTGGTGATGGATCTGGCGGTTGTGTGTTGACGATTTTCGTGGTGGTGGCTATGGTGGATCGTGGTGGCGGATCAGGGATTGTGTGGTGGTGGTGGTGTGGTGCAGGCGACACTGGTGGTGGTTGGGGTGATATTGTGGCGGTGACAGCGCCGATAGTTTTTGTGGTAGTGTGGTGCAGGCGATGATGGTGGTGGTTGGGGTGATATTAAACTGAAAACACCCAAAACGCGTTTTGAAAATTTTGACTTGATTATAACTGAAAACACTTCGTTTTAGATTTTCTTTGTAAATTTTAACTTATTTTCAAAAATGCGTTTTCAAAAATAGGAAAGAGAACGCGTTTTCATTGTTTTGAAAAATCGAAAACAGAAAACGGCTAAAACGGTAAAGATAACTGGCCCTAATACATCGCCCCCAACATTTCTTGATTTGTGTGAGGATAATCNAATTTCGACTTGATTATAACTGAAAACACTTCGTTTTAGATTTTCTTTGTAAATTTTAACTTATTTTCAAAAATGCGTTTTCAAAAATAGGAAAGAGAACGCGTTTTCATTGTTTTGAAAAATCGAAAACAGAAAACGGCTAAAACGGTAAAGATAACTGGCCCTAATACATCGCCCCCAACATTTCTTGATTTGTGTGAGGATAATCCCAAGGAAAATATCTCCGTTCACTGTCATTCAAAGTAATGATTGAAGTTTAAAATAAGAAATTTTGTTGTCACTTTTCAGTGTTATAATGGAATAATGCTGGGTTGAGAGAGATGTTTAAGGCCATGGACACTGATAATAGTGGGCCAATCACATTTGACGAACTTAAAGCTGGTTTAAGAAAATATGGATCCACCTTAAAGGATACTGAGATACGTGATCTGATGGATGCGGCTGATGTAGACAATAGTAGAACCATTGACTATGGAGAATTTGTTGCAGCAACAATTCACGTAAACAAACTAGAACGCGAGGAACACCTTTGGGCAGCATTCCAATATTTTGACAAGGATGGAAGTGGTTATATTACGGTTGATGAACTCCAGCAAGCTTGTGTAGAACATGGCATGACAAATGTCCCCCTTGAAGATATTATCAAAGAAGTTGATCAAGATAATGATGGAAGGATAGATTATGGAGAATTTGTTGCTATGATGCAAAAGGGCAATGGTGGTATTGGTAGACGAACTATGCGAAACAGCCTGAATATAAGCATGCGAGATGCTCCAGGAGCTCTTTAGCTTTTTGATCTGCATGTTGTTTACAGGTACACGGAAGATGGCAGAGTATGTTCAGTTATAAGTGTCAAAGATACATTTTCAGATGCTTGCTTAATTCGATATTTGTGCCACAACACTGGTGATTTAGATTGGAGATGTCAATGATTGAGTTATTGAGAGTCTTACCTTCTGGTGGCTGTGTAAATGAAGAGGTAGTTGTAAGCTTTAATATTTGTGTCGATGTGAGCTATATGAATAATTGTTCGAGTTTCCTTCATTAAAAAAAAAGGGAATAATGCTATTACTTATAAATCAGTTTTAAAGACCTGTTTGGCATGATTGTTGAGAGGCCAAAAAGAATTTTAGAGATCCAAAAACTGTTTTTGAATTCGTTTGGCTAATTTTTCCTAGTTACAAGAGCTTTTAGATAAAGTTGGTACAACGTGCCTTCTATAAATACTTATGGTATATAAAACTCTTTTAAAAGTTAATTTTCAAATAAAAATTAAAGTAACTTTCAGCAAAAGCAAAATTCATGCCAAGTGGATGCACTATTTGTTGGAATATTGAATGAAAATCAACAAAAGTCAGCAGTTCCATTCTTCAGTTGGCTCTTCAGTTTCTCTTTAGTTTCATCCGATTTTCTCTTCAATGCTGTAACTTCCCATTCAATGCATTAAAGAGTTGGCACTTCATTTATGTGTATAAATAGAAGAGCTTATGGTTGGAAGCAAACACAANTTCAATGCATTAAAGAGTTGGCACCTCATCTATGTGTATAATTAGAAGAGCTTATGGTTGGAAGCAAACACAATGAACAAAACACACAAGAGAAAAGTACAATCTTTCCTTCCATTTTCTAGTATCATATTCATTCTTCCCGGTTTAGTTTTTCTTTGCTCATTCCTTTGAGAGATAGACACAGTTAGTTCGTAGGCGGTTAACGTAGTGCAGCGGGAACCGACAACCGATTGTATCTTGGGAATCGAACACCGATCAAAACCTCGTGCACTCCGGTGAGGCGGCGAATTCGATTTAAGGAAACCGTGTAAACACAGGCCTTCGGTTTGGTTTGATTTACTTTGATTTTCCCCTACGCTATTTGTAAGTAATTCTTGCAAAATAGATATCTGTGGGGGACGTAATTGTCACGTTCTTCATTGAAATTTAACATAAAGGTCAAAATATTATGCAAAAATTACAAAAACTGCAACAAAAATAACATATTTAAAAATATATTTATTTTTAAAAATAATTTCATCTTATTTTTGTA